ATATATTAAAATTATGCAACATAATGAAGAAGAGAAGAGTTTTTCTTAGTTACGTTTTTGATCTAAAAATTGGGAGTAATTTATATTTATTTAATATTATGTGTCAAAAAATATATTTTGCATTTCATTTCAAACTTATTATAGTATTTAAAGATTTTATTTCTCGAAAAAAATATTTAATTTCTGAAAAAAATTTATTAAAAAAATTATGTCATTTAATTATGTCACTTATTTCACCAGATTTTATAAATCAAAAATATTTAAATAAATAAGGATTGTAATGTGTTTTAAAATATTATATGATGAATTGTAAATATTTTGAAAAAAAGACAATGAAATTTCGCAAAAGGATTTTTGAAAAAGCACATTGATAATTGAGAAATTGATAATTCATATTGGTGATGAGAAAAATTATTTCCTTTTAATAGTTTCAATTATGAGTTTTTAAAAAACCTAGTTTTTGAAACATTTTTAAGTGATAAGAGAAGTTAATTACTTTTAATATTATTTTTGTTTAATAAACTTTTAATAAAATAAAATTAATTACTTCCAATATAAATTTAATACAAATCTGTAAATAAAACTAATACAATGTATTAACACGCTTTACAAGCAAAATACATAAAGAAGGCGGAAAACGTTCCCCAATTTAGTTGTTTGCAACTACTTAGAAATTATTTTCGATTTTCATTTAATTTTAATTGAAAAAAATTACTCCAATGAACACACTTCTAAATACACACTAACAATTACTATTGAGAAATCATTCTTAATAATCTATACATTAAAACTTATCACGAATTAACTAAAAACACAAAAGAATCATAAATGCAATCAAAATTACTTGTTAAATGTTTATAGAATAAAAATTATCATTTAAAGTCATCGTATGCAGGGAATGAATTTATTTACAAAACAAATTGTTTCAAAACACAGTTTTTAATAATAATTTCGGTATTTATTTGTTGACAACGAATAAAGAGATAATTTATTCATTGTTTATTTACAATTAACTATTGTTACAATTTGTTATTTATTGTAAATATTTTAATTTATTCTTTGTTAAAATTATTTACAGTTTTGCTGAGAAAATTGGTATGTCATTCAACTATATGATAGACGAATGTAAACTTTTGTAAAATATGCTCTTACTAATTGATAATTTAAAACTAAATAACTAAACTAAACTGGAATTAACTGGATATAACTAAAGTTTTTAAACATGTAGTGCTTTATATACTAAGTTTCTAGTATTGTTGTAGATAAAACTTAAACATTTCAAGCTTTACTTCAAAATATATAATTTGTTTTCAAGTCAAGATTAACAGTTGATAATTAAAGAAGTATAAGTATAGATAGTAAAGAAACGTTCCCTGACCATACAAAAAAAACATGTTAATGCTTATACCTAAATTTGTTAATTCAATTTAAATAATTTTTTAAAATAAGAGATGACAATTTCTACAATGCATTTCCAACAATTAGAATATTGTATTAAATTTGAAACAGATCGTTTAAATTTTTTTCTGCAAATAGCGACCTAAACGATCTTTAAATTTGTTTATTATAACTTTTAAGTTATACTGCAGTTTTAAATTATTTATTAAACTTATAATTGTTCTATGAAATTCCACATGTGTTTGAATAATTAATATTTAAACCTTCATATGAATTGAATATTAAATAGAATTATTCAGTTGTTTGAAATGTTAATATCAATTATTTTTTTAGCTTTTTCGTGAAATATATGTATATAATAATTTAATTACATTTAAATTATTTTTATTAAGGTAATAAAATTGTTTGACCACAGTTTCATTAAAAAAACATAATTGTTTTGCATTTACTTAAATATTAAAAAATTGAAATGAATTCAGTATTAAATTGAAATATTAGGTTGTTTAAATATTAAATGGTTTGAATTATTTGAGCATTTCCGACCATGTCTTATTATAAATTTTGTAAATGTGCAAATAACTTTTAAACTTGTTTATAAGATAATATAGTTAAAAAAATCGAATTCCCATTACAAAAAACTGATCTATAACTTTCCACATCTGCTTAAGAACTCAAAATACAACGATAAGCAGCTCATGAAATTATGAGAAACGCAATTAAGCAATAAAATAAATTACCTATTTTTTGCTGCAGCAGCTCTATCTCTTTGTCGCCTGTTCTTGAACCAGTTTCCAACCTGGGTCGGTGTCAAACCTGTAGCTTGGGCCAGCTCTCTCTTCTTAGTTGGATTAGGATATGGATCTTGTAAATACCATTCCCTCAGCAAACTTCTAGTTCTTTCTTTAAAGCAATGCGTCTTCTGTTCACCATCCCAGATTGTCCTAGGTAGCGGATACTTCTTCCTAACCCTGTATTTATCCACAGGGCCCAATGGTCTCCCTCTAAGTTTCTCAGCCTCCTGATAGTGTGCTTCGAGCCACATAGCTTGAAGTTTCGAATGGGAAACCTTAGTAAAACGGTGGCTTTCCAGAATGCCATACAGTTCTCTAAAGTTTCCAGTGTGGAAAGCCACCAGGGCCCGGGCCCTCAAGACTGATTCGTTTTTGTTCAACTCTGCACAATTTGGATGAGCAACAGGTAGGGACCAAAGGAACCTTCCCAGTCTTTCGATGTCCCCGCTGTCTTCTAATGTCTCACAAACTGCTGCGACTTGGTTGATGGAGAAGTTTAGGGTGGGTAAGAACACCATAGGATTGTACCCTGGTATGGGTGTCGGCTGACTTAGACCCAGAGCCATAGGATTAGAGTATTTCATGAGAACTTATGAATATAGCATAAATTAAGAGTGCTAGTTATTTATAGTGAAGCTAACTTCACTGATAATTTATCAGAATCATAAGACGATACTTTTGCTCAACTAAATTCTAAAGTAGTCATGAAGTTCGATTCCATTGTAGCACATATTTCACATTAATGTTAATAATATACAGGTATAGGATCTATTAAGTTCAACATACTTCAAGTTCCATTATGAAAATATACGTATCTATTTCCGAAATAAGTTAGAACTTAAAAGTAACTATTATGCAGATCAAATTACTATTGTTAACTACTAATGATTTGGTTCATAAAACGATAAACAATTTTAAATTGCGCGTTCACTCTTTCGAATCAAACTGGCAACCCGTTCGGCTAACAATCAACTAAACGAAAACGATCGCTAATAATCGTCTGAATGCCTTGGCAGCGATCTTCAAATAAAACGAAGCTATCAAGATAGGAGTCTATAGCATCACTGAAAAAACCATCGAATCTGGGTTTCGTTCTTTTGAGGAGTGGTAAGTGAGAGTCAAATGATCCCTTATAGGTTACGCAGTCTACGACAACGCTATTAGCCATAAGCTGAGAAAAAAGAGGAGGAGCTACAAGTCGTATCCATGGCCGAGTGCGTAACGTGATCTCATTTGCTGGCATCAGATGCCGAGAGTCTCGCTATTGGCCGAGCAAGCATGCCAATCAATGTCTGAATGCCAATCACGGCGTTATGGAGACGACATTGCGTCCATTTCAGTCTGTGAGACTTGAAAGTTTAGTTCCAGATATTCTTTTACTTCTTTTTCTTTGAGTTTCGTTCGCTAAGGAGCGTGTTTTGGGTTTTAGAATGTTTCGTGGAATGTCTGTAAACGGTCACTGTTTTTGATGAGAGAAAAGGTGTGAAACGAATTTTTGTAGGATTTGATTGTTCTTTTAGGGTAGTTAAATCAGAATCATCGGCTACATTTTTAAATGTGCAATGGAAGCAATTAAAGTGGTATCATTGAAATTATAAATTAAATTTTGCAGTGAGTGATATAAAATAAGACGTTAAACATTTAAATTGATGGAAAATCGTGAAAACAAAAATTAACATTAATTTTATTCTGAAAGGGGATCCGGAAATGCAGCTAATGATTTGAGCCCACGCGATGAAATTTGTAAAGTTATAATTTGATCATTATCTGATATTGTGTTTGTATGTTTTATTTTGAAATATTTATGAAACTTAAAATCAAGAGGAGGTATAGGTTAACGGTTGAATTTATTTTTCACCCTTCAAATAAACACAGATTTCTAATTGTATTAGTAGTAATCAAATAAAATATAATTAAGTTTTTTCATAATATTTATTAAAATTTTAATAGTGTTAATTTACATATTTAATCGTGCTGTCGATTAAAGAAAACAATTAAAAACTGGAACGTTTTTATTTTATTTATTTGTTTTAACATCGAATAACAAGTTCAATCAATTATTTTTATATAAATGAGAATTTTTTACAACACATGATCAAGTATTCAAAGTCATTAAAGTACTTAAGAACGTTAATTTGATGATAAAAAAAATTAGTTTGATGTTATAAGCATTGAAAAAATAATTTAATATAGCATATTGACTCCTTCTCCAAAAATGAAAAAAAAAAAAAAATAATAATAATAATAAGAGTTACAGTCTGCTCTTTTAATAATTTTCACAATCTACATTTCATAATTTCTGCTTTTTCTCAAGAGAAAAAAAAATACAAATTAAGATCAAAAATAGATGGAAAATTTTCAACAAAAGAAACTTGTGAAAAATCTGAGCAATGAAAAGCAGTTTTTTTCTAAGTGTCATCATTTTTACATAACAATAATGATGATTTTTTTTTAGTTGTTTTAATTATCAGTAATAACTTTTTCTTTTCCAATAATTGTAACATTATATTAACCAACTCTGAAAGCAAAAATAAATAAAGTAATTAAAATTTTAGAATTAGTTTTTGTAACACTAATTTAATTTTAATGTATGTTGTACAAGAAGCAAGAAATTCTGATAAAATTATTGTACCGAATGGTCATGACACTTTAGGTAATAAATATATAAGTACGAAAAAAAAACTTTATTTTGATTTATTTATTAACTTTAAACTTTAAAAAGTTAAAACTTTATTATAAAACCAAAATAAACGGTACTCAAACCTTTTATTTGGTAAATTTTACTTTCTCATGGTAATGGATTAGCGAAAGTTCTGGTTTTCAAAATTATAATTTTTATTATTATGGATTTAGTAAAAATACAAAACTGAAAATTTAGAAATTAAACAAAAAAAAAAAAGTTATTTTATGCCATGCTCTAAGGTATCATGATAAAATTACCAAATTTTACCACTTTTTCTAAATTTTATCACATATTATAAAACCATATTTTATTGAAACAAATGATTTATGAAATGGTTATGATTTTATTGAAACTACCAAAACAAAGTAAAATTTATCGTGCTTCTGGCTCTATGGGAACACAAAAACGCTCGATAATGTTTTCCAAAGCGCTTTGGTAATAAGTTTGGTAAAATTAACAACAAAATATGGGTGTGTAATATGAGATAAAATTTAGTAAATGTGGTAAAATTCGGAAATTTTATCATGATACCTTATAGCATGGCACACAAAACCATTTATTCGTTTAAATTTATTTTTCTGCTTTGTATTTTTTACTAAATGTGTTAAAATATATGAACTTTGATTTTGAAAGCTAGAATTTCGGGTAAGCCGTTACCATATAAACGGAAAAATTGTCAAATAACAGGTTTAATTTCTTCATTTCTCAATTTTATTAACCAAAATTATGTTTTTTATTTTCTTAAAAATTTGTTTAAAAATAAAATGTCATTACCTTACAGTACGGTAATTTTAACAGAATTTTTTTCTCATTGAATATTTTGAACAAACGATAGGACATAAAAACTAACAATTTATGAAGAACCTGTTATGAATAGGATTCTTATAAGAGCTAATTTTAAAAAATCATCTAAATTTTAGAAACTTAACTAGAGCTGGTTTTTGACAATGTAGTACTCAAAATAAAAAGAAGAACATGCTGATAACTTTTGATCTAATGGTCGGATTTAACGAACTATGTGATGTGATTTTAATGGTTCAAGGTCCTAGCCCTAAGCATGCTAATTAATTAAGGCAAGCGATATTTTATGTTACGAAATAAGGCATAAAAACATACTTATCTTTGTCAGAACATACTTTTTTCTAATAAAAATTGAACTCTTCAGCCTTAAATTATTGGGGGAGTTGCAATTTAGAAATATATAATCTTAATAGACAGGACAGCGATAGAAAGTTTAAATTCAATGTCAATATTTTTGGCGAATGTCGCAATCTCTGAAAAGAAGTATTTCAGAAGGGAAAAAAAATTACTAAGAAGTATTTGACTCATTCTCTTCAAATTATAGATTTTAAAACCACGGTGGCTCAGGGGATAGAGCGTTCGCCTCCCAATGAGGTGACGTAGGATCGAATCCCAGTGGTGACTGGTTGATACGAATTTTGCTCCCGGATCGACCACAGAGCTGACGTAAAATATTCTCAGTGGTAGACGAATTATGAGTTAGAATCCCTCAGCTGTCTGACTAATCATTTCGTGGTTTTCCTCACCATATAACGCAAATGAGGGTTAGGTCCATCAAAAAGTCCCAGTAGTAAAAATTTTTAAAGCGTTCTCTTATTTATTTAGTGCACAGCACTCCAGAACTATAGAATTATAAATTAATTTGGGGAAAGCGTCTCTGCCATCATTCTTTCTTACAAAAAAAAAAAAAAAGAAGAAAAATTAACTTAATTTAAAGGTTCCTCTTAGAAACATCGAATATATTTGTACTCGTCAGCAACAATTAATTTTCTTGTTTATCACTCACTGTCACTGTAAAAACATACAAATAAACTAGAACGAATTTCAAAATAGGTAACTCTACCAAAACAAACACGTTTGGAGATTTCTGGCGCTATAATGCATCACTGTTTTATTTAATGATTTTATAAACAGATATAATCGGGCAAAGAACTCCAAGCACTATTTTCATGTATATGTTTTAACGTTATCGTTGTTTGTTATGTGCAGTTAACTCTCCATGGATACCGAAAAAAAATATATATAGCAAAGCCAAGTCTTCCATGTTTGAGCATGTTAGATGAATTCAAATCGTAAACAGGGATAATTTCGATATTCTAGATAAGATTACTTTACGACTTTAAAACTTAGCATAATATTGAAAGTCTCTTTTCGATGTTGATAAAATTTTTAAGGATTCTAAACACAGAAATAAAATCATTTAAGAGTCAGTAAAGCTACTCATTGTTAGTATTTATTTATTTATTATGATTTTTTTTTAACTGCTTGCGATTTACAAAACTTTGATCTAATCTCTTGAGACCATTGAAACAAAAACGCGATTTTTAAATAATTTGAGCGGAATCAATAAGACATCAAATTAACTTACAAAAAAGGATTAATCTCTAGGTTCTTACAAATAGAATAAAATAAAATAAATCTTTCATTTATTATTCAGTATTTTTAATTGTTAAGAAACACTGCAGAGAAGCGATTAAATATATTAATATCTAAGTAAAATTGTAGATTTTACTGCTTTATGAAACAATTCAGCAAGACGTTTAAAAGTAATTAAACTTCTCTAGATAGACTATTCTTTCAAATAAACATGTGATTTTCCGACCCTGAAATAGTGTGGAGTAATCTTAACACTAGATTGCCTAAGGAAATCATTTTGACTGCTTTTAATTTCAATTAGAGAAACAATGATGTATTTATATACATGTGTGTATATGATACAAGTGTGTATATGACGTATTTATATACATCATATACACACTTTCTTAGAATTTTGTACAACATATAATTTTTTTGTTGTTAATATTTGCTATTAACTTGTTATCTAACTGTGAATGATACAAAAATATTAAAAATTAATTTTAACTAAATTTCTTTACACATTATTTATTTTTTTACAATCCAGTCATTTTGACTGTGTTTGGGCAATGTAGGTATGTACTTAGTTTCATTCTTTCTAGTGTTAAGCACATAATATTTGCTCGCAGGATGGTTTAACTTCTCTTCACAGTACCTAAAGAGATGACTAAAATGTCGGAAATTTTTTATTGCTTAACTTCAAAATATTTCAAACACTGCGAAAAAAATTCAGCAGCTTTTTTTTTTCTCACTGAATTTTTCTTTTCTTTTTTTTTTGGTTTCATATATTATTGGGAAACCAAAAGATCTTTTTCCTAATGAAGATAGATATGAGATATTTTTTTCTTCCTTTTGCAACTAGTATAACACATTCAGTATAATACATTCAGTGAAATGTTTAATAAGGTAGAAATATTTTGCAACATGTTGTAATCATGTAAGATACTTTTTAGATTTTCTTTTCGTACTTGTCTAACCATAGAATATGCTCTAATTAATACATAAACAGGTATATTCACTTTTTTTTTCAGTGGGAATTACTGCTTTAAAAAGTTTGCAACAATGAGAAGTATTAAAAGTTTAAAAA